TACTCCCCCCTCCTGGCCTGCTCCCTCTAACTGCCTATCTGCTCTCCCCTCCTGGCCTGATCACCCTAACTGCCTATCTGCTGTCCCCTCCTGGCCTGATGGCCCTAACTGCCTATCTGCTCCTGCCTCCTGGCCTGATCCCCCTAACTGCCTATCTGCTCTCCCTTCCTCCCCACGCCCTTCAGACCCCTGGTGCAGGTGTGCTGAGAGCTCTCCGCTGCGGCCCCGCCCCTGTCCTGATTGGTTGTTACATGGCGGTGTCCCAGCCAATTTGCACATTCCTATATTATTAGAATAGATAAGATGAGGATGATGGTAAAAGTAGCAGTACCAGTAGAATGGCTGCATTTGCTGAGCATTTACCAGGTGCTAGGCATGGAGCACTTTATATATATGTTATATAGTGCTTTCATGACAACAGCCTGAGAGAGATGAGCAATTTGCCAAAGGCCACAGCCCCAGTGAGTGCATGCTCACAATGTTAATCTCTTTAGAAAGAAAAACAATCTGGGAGCCAGAAAATCTTGGGTTCTATCCTGGTTGTCTCTCTTACTATCTGTGTAACATAAGCAAGTTCTCTAACCTCTCTGATCCCAAGGCTTTTCATTTGTAAAATGAAGCAAATAAGGTCTCTCAGGTGATTCTGAAGATTAAATTTGGTGATTTGTGTAAAGTGTCAAGCTTTGAACTGGGTGGACAGCAGGTTCCCAACAAATGCCTGGCCCTTCTCCCTACGGCCCCACACCCTCCGCTCTGTGAGGTTTCCGCCATCTCAACCCTCCTTTTCTGCTCCTGCCCTCAGTCCTTGCTTAGAACTTATAAAGTGTGGATGAGTTGTCAGGATTATGGATGAATAGTAATGGCGTCACATTCCCAGCTCTTTAAAGAAAAAACAACAAAGGCGCTTCAGGCTCGGGGCGATGCTCAGAGGCCAGGCTGCTTGCTCTCAGCCACCCTACCTTCCAGGACAGACCTAACTGCGGGCGTGCACGTCTCAGAGAGCCTGCTGGAGCCTGAGGTGTGGTTTGCTGAAGGAACTAAACAGTTGCCAGGAAAGCTCTGAGTCCCAAGAAGAATATTCCAAAGTAGAACAAGCCCTGCTATTCACGGGCCAGGCAGGGCCGGGGCTCGTAATGTCAGGCTTCCAGGATTTGTTCCAGGGGGAGATGATTTTACAAACTGAGAATCCCCGGCGGTGCTGGAAACCCAAACACAGTAGCCAGGCTCTGCAGATGCACCAGGAAATGAAGCCACTCCCCCGTGTGAAAAGGGGAAAAAGCACTGAATGGCTCGCAGGCTCCAGCAAGAGAAGGCGGCTGAAGAAACAACCCAAATGCTGATATTTTTTATGTCCAAATCCTTTCTGATGTGAGGATCTTGAAGACGTTAGTCCCAGAAGAAAGGAACTGCTTCTGGGACATCATTTCTGCCGCGGCCGTGCCCACCTAACAGCTCCAAGGGCCCCACAGGCTGGCTCTATAGAAGCAAGGCCCAGTGGGCAGTGTCTGCTCACTTCCCAGGCCTGGCCTCACACTGCCACGGGGACCAGAAATGAAAATAAGAAATGGGACGGTAATTAGTCACTGTCACTCACACCGAGAGGCTGGGTGCCACCCCAGCCTGGCATTTCCGGATCGCCATGCCTGGCTTTTGCCAGCCAGCCCTCTGGCGAGGCAATTTGGTGGCCACCTCTTGGCCTGAAAAATATTATTCTTGCTCTCATGCTGGTTGCCATCTCCTGGGGACCATGAGCGTTTGGCCTGCCCTGATCTTTGTCTACAGCTCTGAGGCGGAGGTGTCTAGTTACACAGAGAAACAAGGATTAGGACCAGCCCTGCCCCGTAACCTGGGCTGAACAATGCTGCCGTTTGTTACAAATGCATTCACCCCTTAGCTGGCTGGCGATAAGGCGGCCAGCAGGCCGAGCACCAATAAGGAACTGCTTGCCTTGGCCCCCCCTGGGAGGCAGCTTTGCCCGAGGTGTCTTTCTGCCCCCCTCAGAGGCTCTGTGGACTTGTCCTGAGCACATTCGGGGGACAGGCACAGAGGGGCCGCGTGTCCAGTGGGGGAAACGGCTCCTGCACAGTCACACCTTCCTCCCCGCAGGGCTGGCTTTCATTTTTAGAGGGGGAAGATGAGTTGATAAATGCTTTTAGTTCCACGTTCATATATTATCCAAATTCTTCTTCCAAGTGCACACAGCACTTTCATGAGCAAAAAAATATGAATGCATAAGAAAGTCTAGCATTAGAACGCGTTACTTATCAAGTAAGATTTTTAAAAATCCATTTGAAAACAATAACTGCCTACTGTCTAATGACCTTAGAGAGAAGGTAGCATGCACGGGGGTGCGGGCGGGGGGGGGGCGATCGGAAACGGACTGTAAGGACATCCTCCTGCAGGGAACGGCAGGGTCGGAGCAAGTGAGAATGCAGCCCTGAGTGAGGGTGACAGCCCGGGGACCCTTTGCTGCTTCCCAGGACCCAGTGTGCAGGACGGCGGGCTGGAAGGCTCCGTCCCGTACCCCGTCAGCGCTGGAGTCCTTCCCGACAGCTCCCCAAACACCACGGGACAGACTCCCCTCTGTCAAGGTCTGAGCAACTCGATGTGCTTCCAGCTCAAACGCCTGCCTGTCAAACGCGAGCCACGAGTCTGAGAACTGAGGGCACTTTACAGTCCTCAGAGAAATACTGTTCACAAATGTTTGTTTTCCTGGCTGAGAGCTCACTCACCAGGCCTGGGTTCCTGCAGGTACGCACCCAGTGGAGCTTAGCTTGGTTCAAAAACAGAACAACATCCACAACAAACAGCGGAGCGAGGAGGGGAGGGCCAGGGATGGTTAACAGGGAGATGGTTTGCTCCCTCAGGGACTAGCAGCTGGTGGTGGTAGCTTCCGGGAAGCCTGTGCGTGAAGCCCAGACCCGGAGGCAAAGGCATGGCTTTTTTCCTGGGCCTCGTAGCGTCCCAAATGCCCAGCACCACCCTCTTCCTGGAGGTGGTAGGAAAGTCCCCTGGAGGAGACGGGAGGTCGTGCCCAGTAGTGGGGTTGGCCATCCAGGTTGCGGCGGGAGCTCAGGGGGAGGAAGATAACAGAGACCCCCGCCCAGCCTGAGAGGAGGTGGGCACCATGCCAGGCACCATACCTTGCGGTGTTTCACCTCATAGTAGAGGATCGGTGCCCGGCTGCCACCCTCATGCCGAGGCCGCCACACGAGCTCGTAAGAGTCAGTCTTGGAGGTCCTGGGTGAGCTGAGGATGACGGGTGCCTCGGCGGGCGCCACCGGCCCTTTCTCTCCAGGGCACTGCGGGGAAGCCGGCTGCACCGACGTTGGAGGCCTCGGGAGCCCAGGGTGCCCCCTCAGCATCTGGTCAGGGCTTCTTGGTCTGGAGGGTGGCACCGGAGGTGTGGCAGTGTCCAGCTTAGCATCGGGCCATGGCCTCAGGGTTGTGCCTGGAGCAGGAAAGACAGGGAAGGAAGAGGGTGTTAGTTCCCTGGTCACCTGCTGAGCTGAGAGAAGACCTGCCGGGCAGGAAGAGTCCTCAGGGCAGGACTGACATGGCCAACGGCCCACTCAACAGGCTTGCCCCATGTCCAGGCATCTTGCCGTGGTCCAGGCATGGCAGGCAAGCGTGTCTGCAACCTGTTTGTGTTCCTGACTCCACATCTGAAGTGAACTATCTATTTGCTCCTGGGGTGCAGGATCCCCGTGCCCTCTTTCTCACACCTAACACTGGGGCTGGGGGCAGCCCCACACTGGGGAGTCTTAGCACACGGCACACACGGGCCTTTTCCTTCTCCACTGCACTGACCTGGAAATGGGAGACGGAAAGCCAACTGTAAATGCCACTGGGAATCTGAGGGGCCAGGGCAACACTTCCTTCAGGGAGCATCCACGGACTCTGCCTGCCCCACGGGAGGTTGGCATCTGACAATGACGATTTAGCATTTCATTCTCTGTCATTGTATTTTTCTCCAACTATTTCCTCTGCATATTTTATCTCCTCCATGAAAAAATTCTTGAGGCTAATTCTGTGTTATGTTTCTCTGTATTCCCCAGGCTACCTAGTCCAGTGCTGAGCATAGTTATTGCTCAGTCACTACAGGTGTCAATGGAAATGAATCAAGCTAACAATACAATTGCTTTCCTTTGCTCCAGAGCAGGGGTTGTCAGACTGGGTTCCATGGAACCCTATGAACCCACAGATTCTAACAAAAGGATTAAATTACACTTTTAAATTATAATACAACAGCTAAATGGGTCATTTTCACTAGTGAAAACCTGCACTTCTTTTTAATAAGTTAATATAAATTTGAACTTATAACTGAAAGCCACTTTTACTGGTTTTACACATCGGGGTTCTATTTTAGATTCCCTTGGAGAGAAGGGTTCTGTGAGTATTCACTCCACTCTCGGTCCTCGTGCTGCACTCACCTGGCCTGGCGGTCCTCAGCTGGACCACGGCGTGGGCACTGCCAACTTCGTTCTCGGCCATGCACTGGTAGACACCCTCATCCTCAGGCCCCACACTGACCACACGCAGGGTCCTACGTGACAGTCGGAGGCGCTGGCTGGGGGTGAGCGGCACGGCGTTCCTCAGCCACAGCACTGAGGGCGGGGGGTTCCCGCGCACCTCACAGGTGAGCTTGGCACTCTGGCCCCACGGGATGACCAGCTGGGACAGCTCCACAGTGACCTCGGGGGGTTCTGCCGGGAAACCAGAGCAGGGGTGAGAGAGGCAGAGTCTCCCCGTCCACGTCAGGCAGAAAGGCTCCCCCTTTCCCCTGGCTGTTGACAGAGGAAAGGAAAGGTCTCTGTCTCCGCCACCAGAGCCACAGCAGGAAAGGGCACCGAGGGGCAGTCAGCCCTCTACCCCAGTCCCTGGGATACAGAGCCTCCACCTCTCAGTGCTCCTGTCACTCACTCGGCACGTGACCTCTCAGAAGGGACGTGACCCTGAGCTGGGGTTAGGAGCTTCTAGACAGGCCAAGCAGACCAAAGGGAAGGTCAAGGAGAAGAAGGTCTGCAGGAGACACTCACCAAACACCTGGACGTTGTAGAGAATGGCCGCCGCCCCAGGCTCCCCGACCCCGTTGTCGGCCATGCAGCGGTAGGTCCCCGAGTCCTCCT